GGACTAATCTTTTCCTTGTATCCTGTTCTCTTCATTCTCCTTGCTCCTGGAGAGATGAGAACAGTGGAGTATCTTAGATGGCTGCTCACAGGCTTTTAAGACCCCAAACAAGCAGCCGAGTTCTTAACTGTGCCACCAGGGTTCCCCTTGCTTGCTCAGTCACCCCTTTATTCATGTACTTACTTACTCATACATACAACGTTCACTCATTCACACAAAGTTCATTCAGTCACTTGTTCATTCAAGAAGTATTGATCGAGCGCTTACTGTATACAGACCTAGAGTTGAGTTCAGTGAAGGAAACAGGCATTAACTCCTCCATCTATTTATCCATTGGCTTCAGCAAATGCTTATGTCGTCACCCCAGGCACCACACCAGTACCCACAAAATGAAATGTGGCCCCATTAGAGCAGGGCCCAACAGAGGGGAGGGGTGGTGTGGATGGCCATTCATCATACTGGGAGCCACCCTGGGCTGGGGGGGCTTTCACATGTGGGGGTTGGGGGAGCATGTCTTCTGAACCCCGTTTGCAGCAGCAGAGGTCTGAGATGCTGAGGGGAGTTCAAGGCCCTTGGGCAGAGGCAAGGCTGGCGTGTCAAAGCCCGGGGCTGCCTGCCGTGACCCTGTGTGCCCACCCTCCTGTGTGAGCTCTGCACGGCCCCAGAAGGGGCACACATCTCAAGTCCCTTACACTGTTCTCTGCTCTTCCAGAAACTGCAGCTGTGATTTGTCCTTGTGATGTAAGCAGCAAGTCCCCACAACAATAAACTCCTTCCCCTTCAAGCCGCCTCGATTCTTATTTTGTGCCTCCCCTGGGGGTCCCCAGGCTCTCTAGGGGTTGTCCTTTTCCAAACCAGGGATTCCAAAGAGAGGCCTCCTCAGCCTGGCTAGGGCTTGGAGAGAGCTGCTGGGGTTTGCCCCAGGAAGCCACGTGGGTAGCCTGAGGGAATATGAGTTGACACATGAGATCTTGCTCTTCTCTGTGACCCTGGTCAGAGAACCCTCTTCTCTGGTCCTGCCTCCACAGAGGGCTCCGGTGGGTCCTTAAGATTCCCAAGCTGCAGGTGGAGGACGGGGATCTCCCCAAGAGCAGCTACCCCCAGCCCAGAGAGGCTGGCCCCACAAGGATGTCCAGAGCTCGGGGACAGCCATCTGCTCCCTGAGGAACAGACTCCCCAGTGGACCCACCCACCCGGCACAGACCCCGCAGCTGCTGTTGGCCTGGGTCTCTGTTTCCAGAAGTGTTTAATGAGTCCTGACCTCAGGCCCAGACTATGCTGGGCACAGTGGAAGTACAGGAGGAGGAGGAGGAGACCCTAGCCCAGCCCTTGGAGGCTCAGGTTTCAGGAAAGCAATGGTTTCCACACAGAATCACAGTGGGTCGGGCTGGAAATGACTTCACTGCAATAGACAGGTGGGGCCCAGAGAGGAAGGAAAGAAAGAAAGAACTGGCGGCCATGCATGAGCAGCTAGAGGTTCAGAGAAGGGAGAGCTCATCTGAGGGTGGCTGGAGGGCAAGTGGGACCAAAAGAGAGAATGGCCCGTGTCCAGTGAAGGTGGGCACAGTTATTATGGGGGACATTCTGGTAGAGACCCTGGACCCGTAACCATAGGAGTGCCCAGTTAGGGTGCTCCTGAAAATATGCTGATCTATGGAGGCCTTTCCAGTAGGTCTCCAATGGAAGTGGGATGAGGGATCATCTGCCTAACCCCGGCCTCTGAAGTCCCCACAGTAGTTCAGAGCAGCCTCTAAGCGGTGCATGAGTTGTCCTGTTTCCCCGAACAGACTTCGGCTCCTGGAGAGTAGGGACCATGGTGTATCTCCCACACCGCCACGATGCCAAGCCAATTCTCAGGAAAGAGTTCATTTTCTCAAAATTATGGACTGAATTGTGTCCTCCTAAAATAAGTGTTCTAAACCCTAACCCCTATGCTTGTGGATATACAGGTAGTCCCCGACTTACAACGGGGTTCCGTTCTGACAAGTCGGTTCTGATGTTAAGTCAAATATCTCTTTTTTTTTCTAAGTTTTCATTATTATTGTCTTTTATTATCAGTGTCTTAATAAACCCGGTCTTTGAACATCTTCTAGTGAACATCTCAGAATGATAACATCAGCAAATTACATGCGGCAATATTGTATGTAGATGTTGTTGTTAGGTGCTATTGAGTTAATTCTGGCTCATAGCAAACCTATGTACAACAGAACAAAACACTGCCCGGTCCTGTGCCATCCTCATAATTGTTGTTCTGCTTGAGCCTATTGTTGCAGCCACTGTGTCAATCCATCTCATTGAGGGTCTTCCTCTTTTTCGCTGACCCTCTGCTTTACCAAGCATGATGTCCTTCTCCAGGGGCTGGTCCCTCCTGATAACATGCTCAAAGTATGTGAGACAAAGTCTCACCACCCTCGCTTCTAGTGAGCATTCTGCCTATACTTCTTCCAAGACAAATTTGTTCTTTCTTCTGGCAGTCCATGGTGTATTCAATATTCTTCACCAATACCACAGTTCAAAGACATCAATTCTTCTTCAGTCTTCCTTATTCATTGTTCACCTTTCGAGTGCAAAAATTACATGGCTTGGGTCAGGCACACCTTAGTCCTTAGAGTGACATCTTTGCTTTTAACATTTAAAAAGGTCTTTTGCAGCAGATTTGCCTAATACAATGCGTCTTTTGATTTCTTGACTGCTGCTTCCGTGGGCGTTGATTGTAGATCCAAGTAAAAGGAAATCCTTGACAACTTCAATCTTTTCTCTGCCTATCACGACGTTGCTTATTGGTCTAGTTGTGAGGATTTTTGTTTTCTTTATGTTGAGGTGTAATCCATACAGAAGACTGTGGTCTTTGATCTTCATCAGTAAGTACTTCAAGCCCTCTTCACTTTCAGCAAGCAAGGTTGTGTCATATGCATAACGCAGGTTGTTGATGAGTCTCCCTCCAATCCTGATGGCTTGTTCTTCTTCATATAGTCCAGTTTGTCAGATTATTTGCTCAGCATACGGATTGAATAAGTGTGGTGAAAGAATACAACCCTGACGCACACCGTTCCTGATTTTAAACTACACAGTAGCCCCTTGCTCTATTCAAACGTCTGCCTTTTGGTTTATGTACAGGTTCCTCATGAGTACAATTAAGTATGTAGCACATATTACTAAAGATAAAACCAAAAATAACCAAACCCGTTGCCGTCAAGTCGATTCCAACTCATAGTGATCCTATAGGACAGAGTAGAACTGCCCCATAGGGTTTCCAAGGAGCGGCTGGTGGCTTCGAACTGCCAACTTTTTGGTTAGCAGCTGAGCTCTTAACTCTGGTTTTTTTGGTTTTTTTTTACATCTTACTAAAGATAAATTGTACCAAAAAAACCACAGACTGCCATAAATGTGATTTGTAATAACTCAAATACGTCATAAATCCAGGACCACCTGTAATCCCATTTGGTAATAAGCTTCTCTTTGTTATGTTAATGAGGCCTTGTCAGTTAAGGGTGTGTTTTAAGCCAATCACTTCTGAAATATGAAGAGAACAGATTAGGGACAGAAACAAGGAAGCACAAATGGAGAAAGATTGATGCCACACGGAGATCACCAAGGAACCGAGGAAGAGAAGCTGAAAGACACAAGGATTTTCCCCCAGAGTGAACGGAGAAAGCCTTCCCCTAGAGCCCACCCTCTGAGTTCAGACATTTAGCCCCTTAAACCTTAAAAAAATAAATTTCTGTTCATGAAATCCACCCACTTGTGATATTTTTGTCATAACAGCGCCAAGAAACTAAGACACTCACCAAGCAATTGGCCTATAGGGAGCCCGGCACCGGCTCAGTCCTGAGAATTCAGGGATGGGTCAGAAAAGATTCCTGCTCTGGAAGAGACAGATCCATAAACAGATCATTTGACTTCTCTGCTGTAAGCGTGAAGAAAGGAAACAGACCAGGAACACAAAAAGTTACACAGTGTCAGTTGGTGGGAGGAGTGCAGTGCAGGAGGGCTTCCTGGAGGTAATGATGCCCAAGCTGAGCCTTAAAAATAGAAAGTACCTGAGTTCAGAAGGTACTACTAGTTGCTTGATCCAAACTTTATTTTCAATCTCCTTCTTTCACACCCGTCTCTATATTGGAGGTAATAAATGATAAACACTTGCTGTCCCTTGTAGTTATAAAAGGGAAATAATATCTAATATTTATTGAGCACTTAGACTATGTGCCAGACATTGTTATACAGGTTTTACATGTATTACCTCATTTAATTCTTGAAACAACCCTATGAGGTAGGTTGTTATTAACATCATCCCCATTTTAAAGGTAAGAAAACAGAGGCCAGAGAGGATTATTGGCTCCTCAAGGTGATTCAACTAGGAGGTTGTGGCGCTGAAGTCCAGACTTTGGTAATTTGGCTCCAGAGCCCATGCTGTTAGCCACCATGCTTTGCAACGTAAGAAGTCTGCTTGGGAAGCATGTGTTTTCTGATAGGAGGGGTCTGACACAGCTGGTGCCACCCATTCCCCTTCTTCCTGCCTTGAATATGGACTTTATGCCTGGAGCTGAGGCAGCCATCTTGTGGCCAAGAGAACTGCAGAGACATTGGTTCCAACATCATCAAGCCGCAGAGTTGATGCCAGCAATCCTCCTCCTCCGAATTTCTTGTTATATGAAAAAAATAAAGCTGCATTTAGTTTAGCCACTGTCTTAGTTACCCAGTGCTGCGGTGGTACAAATACCACAAGTGGGTGGCTTTAAAGACCAGAAACATTTCCTCACAGTTCTGGAGGCTGAAAGTCCAAATCAGGGTTTTGGTCACATCAATGCCTTCCTCATCAGTAGTCCTGGGCATTCCTTGAGTTTTAGCAATCCTCATGTGATGTCTGTCTTTCCCAGTATGTGCCTGCCTCTGTGTCTAATCTACTCTTTTTATAACTCAGAAATGATTAGGTTTAGGACACATCCTACACTGATATGGCTCATTAACATGATGAAGAAAACCTGATTTCCAAGCAGGATCATATCCACAGTGTCTCATCTAGTGCTGCTATAACAGAAATACCACAAGTGGATGGCTTTAACAAACAGAAGTTTATTCTCTCACTGTTTAGGAGGCTAGAAGTCCAAATCCAGGGTGCCAACTCCAGTGAAGTCTTTCTCTCTGTCAATTTCTCTGTCAACATCTTTTCTGGGGAAAGGCCCTTATCATGAATCTTCCCCTGGTCTAGGAGTTTCTCAGTGCAGGGACCCTGGTCCAAAGGATGCACTCTGTTCCTTGTACTACTTATTTGGTGGTATGAGGTCCCTCTCCTCTCTGCTCACTTCTCTTTATTATATCTCAAAAGAGATTGACTCAAGATACAACCTAATCCTGTATATTGCATCCTACCTCATTAATATAACTGCCTCTAATCCTACCTCATTAACATCATAGAGGTTAGGATTTACAACTCATGGGATAAATACATCATATCACAAAATGGAGGACAATCACACAATATTGGGAATCAAGGCCTAGCCAAGTTGACACACGTTTTAGGGGACACAGTTCAGTCCATAACACACAGGTATAGGGGTTAGAATTCCAACACATATTTTGGGAGAACACAATTCAATCCATAACAGCCACTGTAGTTAGGTTTTCAGTTACTTGCAGCTCAACATACTCCTAACTGATAGTATGTTGTTGTTGTTGTTGGATGCTGTCGAGTTAATTCAGACTCATGGTGACCCCATGTGACAGAGTAGAACTGCCCCATAGGGTTTTCTAGGCTGTAATCTTTATGGGAGCACATCACCAGG